ATCAGAGGACACTGCAGCAGATTCAGAAAGAATTGAATGAATCTAATGAAGGTTACGGAGGTGTTTAGGGTGATCGTTAGTGATGGTGATATAATGCCTATGTTTGTCTTCCCACAGGCACTCAGACTCAACACAGAGGCCTACAATAAGTGCCTTGAGGAAGTAGCACTGCCCTAGGTGAAGAGGGTGGCTGCTAGAAGACACTATGTCTGGCAACAGGACGTGGCACCATGCTACACAAGCAGGAGAACCCAGTCATGGCTGCGACCACATCATCCCTTACATCTGGCCACTTAACTTCCTAGACTGCAACCATAGTTATTATGGTGTGGGGGTTTGGTTGAGCAAGAGACCAAAACTGAAGGCAAGGATTATGGTCGCATTTACTAACTCAGAGACTCTAAAATAGTTCAGGAGATTCCAAAGTCATGTGGAGTCCATGGTTGAAGTAAATGACGATTTTATTGAATAAATTTACTCTTTAGTATTTCAAAGGTATTTTTGTGTAATTTTGGTAAATATATTTGTTAAAATGAGATGTCAGTGTTACTTTCATTTTTGTCAAATTTAGATGCCAATTTATTCATTGCACCATATATATATATATATATATATATATATATATATATATATATATATATATATATATATGGGTAGCAATTTTCTAATACTGAGGAGTTTCCTTTCAATGTTTGTTTTTGATAGAGTGGAAACTTAATACTACATCATTATTTTCTCTTAATTGTATGTGCAACCTTTAGACTCTCATAGCTTACAGGCATATCATGTTGAAACACTGGTTTTCATATGATCACCAAAGTTAAGCAACATTGGATCTGATCAGTACTTATATGGGGGAACACTTAGGAATACACCAGGTGCTGTAATCTTGGATGAATGGATGGTGTAATGGATAATACTCAGAATTCAAAATCAGAGAGCCAAGTTCCAATTCCAGTTGCATTCATTATATTCACTTATACACAAATATCCTTGGAAAAGGTCAGTAGAACTTGTCATTATCCTCGCAAAATTTCTTATAATCTAAAAATATTTTTTGGCTTTAAATAACCTGCAAAAGGTTGATAAGTCATAAAGAACAAAATTAATTAACCAGCATATATAAATAAGTCTTGATTGGTTGTTGTCTACTGGGGCAACTTACATAATTCATGTCCTAAAGCTATTGGCAAATTTTTGTTCTAGGTGTGGGCCGAATACTGATCATATTTGGTCGGGTCGTCCATCGAAGAAGTCTGTTGTTTATTTAGACCCGAAACTTCTAGTGACATGGTAGCAACAACACTGACGAAGCATCTAGATTCAGCACTTAAAGGTGTATTTTAATAATTTTAAATCTGTTTTCAACAGTGACTACCAGGAATAGTCTGGCCGACGATTGAGGAAAGACTCGGTGACAGCTGGAAAGACAGTTGGCAAGCCGGAAAGACGGCTATTCGGAGTCTGCAGGGTTCGCACCCCTAATGACATGTCTCTTTGTTCTAAAGAGATCCCCGTTTCATGCTACAGGTAGAACAAGGAATACATACCCCCAGGGGATCCCGAGAGGGGGGGGACCTTGAGATCCCCAGTAGGACGGATACAACGGTTACGACCACAGCAAATGCCCCAAGGACTTCTGACTTGATATGCCACTGTGGAAAGATGTGTAAGAATCAGCGTGGCCTAAAAATACACCAGGCCAAGATGAAATGTGCAGTAGTAGCTGAGAACTCACAACGCATAGGTGTTACACCAAGTAAGACGGAGGTGGAGCAGGTCCCGGTGACAAACCACAGCGCCCAGCATCACCCAGTGTGGACTCAGACCTTGCGGACAGAGTAGTCTCTAAGCGGATTAAATGGCCCCAGCAAACAAGAAAGCGTGGCGCGATTTTGATGAAGACGTATGCATTATAATCCAAGGTACGTCTGCAGGTAACATAGACCGACGACTTCAAGCCATGAGTAAACTTATCGTCAGCTACGGATCAGAGTGTTTCGGCCACATTGATAAAATGAGAAATAAAATCTACACTCAGAATAGGCGTGAAGGAAGGATAAGAGAAGTAAGGCAGGAATTAAGATCTCTCAAGAAACAATTTAAGGCCACTAGTGAAGAAGAGCGACCAGCCCTCTTGGAACTGAGAAATATTTTAAGACAGAAACTGAAAAACCTGCGAAGAGCAGAAGGACATCGTCGCCGTAGGAAAGAGCGGGCCAGGAAGAGGGCTTCGTTTATCTCCGACCCGTTTGGTTTCACCTGAAGACTTCTGGGAGATAGAAGGGGCAGATTAGCATGCCTAAAAGATAGAGTAGATTCCTTTTTGAAGAGCTCTTGTAGGGACCCAAGAAGGGATGAGGAATTAGGATTTAATGATCACCTCATTAAACCCAACCCCCCAGAAGTTGAGTTTGACATGAAGGTGCCAAGTTTGAGTAAGGTTAAACAGATAGTAATGGCAGCGAGATCAGCTTCGTCGCCAGGTCCGAGTGGCGTGCCTTACTCCGTGTACAAGTGTTGCCCTGGTATTCTCATGAAATTATGGAAAATCATTAAAGCAATTTGGCAGCGAGGTAAAGTTGCAGAACAATGGCGATACGCAGGTGTTTGGATCCCAAAAGAAGAGAACTCAGAAAATATCAAGCAGTTTCGATGTATCTTGTTACTGAGTACAGAAAGCAAAATATTTTTTAGTGTTATTTCCCGACGACTATCAGCTTTTCTGCTAAAAAATAGCTTTAGATACATCGGTACAAAAAGGCGGAATCCCTGGTATTCCTGGCTGCGTTGAGCATATAGGAGTTTTGTCGCAATTAATAAGGGATGCAAGGAGGAATAAAGGAGACCTGGCTGTTGCGTGGTTGGACTTGGCCAATGCATATGGGTCCATACCGCATAAACTTGTGGAAGAAGCTTTAGTTAGACACTATGTCCCAAGTAGCATCCGCGAGCTGATACTAGATTACTACAGTCAATTCCATCTAAGAGTTGCATCCGGTTTGGTTTCTTCAGACTGGCATAGACTCGAGAGAGGAATTATTACAGGCTGTACATTGTCAGCCACGCTTTTTGCTCTCGCGATGAACATGCTCGTGAAGTCTGCTGAGGTGGAATGCCGTGGCCCCGTTTCAAATACCGGAGTTAGGCAACCACCCATCCGGGCTTACATGGATGATCTTACAGTCACCACACATTCTGTTACAGGCTGTAGATGGCTATTACAGGGTTTAGAGAGACTGATTGAGTGGGCAAGAATGAATTTCAAGCCAAACAAATGTAGATCAGTGGTAATAAAAAAGGGCCGAGTGGTAAAACACTATTTCACAATAGAAGGGAGAGCCATCCCGACGTTGGCCGATAAGCCTGTTAAGAGTCTAGGTAAATCCTTTTGTAATGCTCTGAAGGACACACCAGCTATCGAAGCTATACGTACCGATTTTGACTCGTGGCTGGCGAAAATAGATAAATCGGGATTGCCAGGGCGCTTCAAAGCCTGGCTATACTATCACTGTGTGCTCCCATGAGCATTATGGCCACTCCAGACATAGCATTCCCATCTCGACTGTGAAGACTTTAGAGAGAAGAGCTAGCAGTTTCCTCCGTAGATGGTTAGAATTACCGTGGTGCTTAAGCAGCTCAGCCTTATATGGATCATCCAATGCCATCCAGCTGCCATTCAGAGGACTAGTTGAGGAGTTCATGGTGTCACGGACAAGGGAAAGCTACCATTATAGAAATTCCATAGATCCCAAAGTATCAGGTGCGGGAATTGAGATCAAGACTGGCAGAAAATGGAGTGCTACTAAGGAACTAGCTATTGCAGAAGGGAATCTGAGGGTAAAAGCAATAATGGGTTCAGTTGCACAGGGCAGAGCAGGCCTGGGGTTGATTTCCTCCTACAAATTTGGAAAAAGCACCGTGAAGGAGCGTCAACACCTGATACAAGACGAAGTAAAAGCAGGGATGGAGGAAAAGCGGATGACAAAAATGGCAGGTTATAGCCAACAGGGCGCGTGGACCAGGTGGGATGGTGTAGATCGGCTGAAAGTGTCGTGGTCAGATCTTTGGAATACCGACTTCAGCCGATCTAGATTCCTGGTTCAGATGGTGTACGACGTATTACTAAGTGCGACCAACCTACACCTATGGAGAAAAATAGATTCACCAAAGTGCCCCTTGTGTTCGGGGAGGGGATCACTGCGACACATTAAGCAGGTGCAGAACAGCTCTGACAGACGGGCACTATCGGTGGAGTCATGACAAGGTTTTAGAGGTGATAGCACTCATTATTACTGAAGCTTTATAGAGTAATAAACTCATCCCAGAAAGAAGAGCTATCCGCTTCGTTAAAGCAGGTGCAAAGCCAAGTACGAAGGTTGCAGGATCCCATTCACTGTTATCGTCCGCGTCGGATTGGCAAATGTGAGTCAATCTCGGGAAACAATTGAAATTCCCAACACATATCGTTTATTTGGACGCCACAAAACAGATTATTTTGCTGGAGTTAACTGTCCCATGGGAAGAGCATATGCAAGAGCCATTTGAGAGAAAGTATAGTAAATATGAAGGACTCTTAAATGACTAAAGGATGGCACACTGTTTTCCCTTGAGATCAGCTGTAGGGGGTTTGCTGGACAGTCAATGATACAAGCCCTTACTAGCCTAGGGATAAATGGACAAAAAAAAAGTAGGTGGGCGATTCAAATGATCCTGGAGTCCGTCGAAAAGGCCACCAGGTGGTTGTGGATAAATAGAGCTAATGAGTGGCCCAAAACTAAAAAAATAAGAACGTTCCCAATGCAGATGTACACATGCCATAAATGCCATCACTAAATACTTTTAAGACTGATTAGTATATATATATGTGAAATTTGTGTATATAGATGACGAGAAACTTGCGAGAATCAATCTTTCAATTTGCATTCAGTCTCATATGCAATGACTTCTTACTGGTCTTCCGAGTAGATTTATTTCATTACAAAACATTCTTACAAGTAATCTTTCCTTTTTTTTTTTTTTTTAAAACGGAATGTTAATTTTTTTTTTTTTTTTTTTTTTTTTAGGAGTAACTTATTTTAGCTAAATTTACACGCCATTTTTTTCTTTCAACTATTTTTCGACATGTAAATATCTCGATCATTTATTTTGAGGAATTTTAGTTATTTCTTAGTTTTTAAATGAATTCTTTCCAGTAAGGATATTTTTTTTTTTTTTTTTTGGGGAGTTAACTTATTTAAAATTTACACGTGTTTTTTTTTTTTTTTTTAACTAGTATTTAACATGTAAATAGCTTGATTAATTTATTTTTAAGCGATTTTAGTCAAATGTTTTTCTCTTAGTCTGTCATTTTAATCACTCTATTGTAAACGTTTTATTAAGTGTAGTTTAGAAAAGAAAAGAAAATAAAAAAGTAAAAAGAAAAGACCAAACAAATAAGTTAGTTAAAAGGGAGGTAGAGAAAGAACAAGTCGCAAGACGAGCCAACATAATAAATCATTTGTTTGTTTTTGTGTGTGTGTGTGTGTATATATATATATATATATATATATATATATATATATATATATATATATGTTTGTTTTCTTCTATTCTCCCCCAAAAAAAAACACACCCATTCTTGGCCGCATGTAGGAAGATCTATACAACTATGCATACCTAATCTATAACATCGAATAGCCCAAGCGAAGTCTTGATTGGTTGTTGTCTATTGGGGCAACTTACATAATTCACGTCCTAAAGCTAGTGGCAAATTTTTGTTCTAGGTGCGGGTCGAATACTGATCATATTCGGTTGGGTCGCCTATCGAAGAAGTCTGTTTATTTAGACCCGAAACTTCTAGTGACGTGGGAGCAACAACACTGACGACGCATCTAGATTCAGCACTT